GTTGACAATCTCTCTCTGAGCTTTTCAAACACTCCCTTCTTGTCACAGATCAGTGCATCCATCTTAAGTCTACATTCTTCTTCTAAATGTTCTTGTTAAGGCAGGGCAGGCAGGCTGGGAGAGGTCAGGGTCTAAATATGGATAGTTTGGCCAATGCCTTTGATTGAACAGGCCACTAGATCCATTTTGGTTTCACTCAGGTTGGTAGAATGAGGTAGTATTCACAAATACAGGTTAGAGAGAGAGAGAGGATAGGAGTCAATGAAGACCGAAATAAGCAGACTAAAATCACTCATGTAACCAGGTGAGAGAGCACAGTCTAAAACTTTGAGAGCAAAGCCAGATTTCAGTAGACTGTGGAAGAGACGTGGGAGTTGTAAGCCCAGGTCAGTGGCCTCTTGTCTTCTTCTTCCATGGTGTACATTGATTAGGTTTTCATGGTGCACACTTGGTGCCAGAAGGACGGGCCAGGGCCTCCAGGTAAAACTTTGTCCTGATCAAATCAAGAGCAGAGGTCACCCTTAGGTCGGAAGTCTCTGGTCCTCGTTCTCTTCCAGGATTTCGTATCCGTGATGGCAGGAGAAATTCGCTCGTATCCATGATTCTCTAGCTGCTGTTTTCTCCTGTTGCCTATGGTTTACACAAACGGATACTACTTCAAACTTGGGCCTCATATCCACCTGTACACTTCCACATTTTTGAACTGGTTGCGCCACTCCTAACCAACAGAGCTTTCTTGTGCCTGCCCTCTTGGTCTCTTTCTCTGAGACTTGGCACTTTCATATTAGGGGACATAAATAACCAAGCACATAGATGTAGAAGGAGCATCCGAAAGCATCAATGACTTAGAGGAAACACTGGATGCCAGCTATGCCGATTTCGCATTCCCTGAAATCGAATAATGAATTGTAAAAGGAGCAACAGAGGTTAAGAATAAAAAAATTTATTGGAAAAAAGTTATAGGGAATAAGAATAGCTCCTGAGAAATAGAAGGGGTCCAAATGGGTTGCCAATGAGTCCACTTCTCAAAGGAAGTTTTTTTTTTTTTATTAACTCAGTTTATTGGTACATTTTAGGTATACATAATGATCACATTCATTATAAAGAATTTCTACCTGGACATGATATAACTTGATTCTTTTTTTTTCTTTTCCCATTCCCCTACCCTCCCTTCATCCCATCTTCTGCTCCTAATGAAGTTTTATAGAGCAAAGCCACAAGGTTGGTACAACATGTGTCAAAATTATGATTAACCAATAAGAGTGCAAGTATAGTTGCTTAGGTAGTATTGATCCAATGGTGGCAAGGGCATATGGGTGCCATCGTTAAGACTGGTCAATAATCTGTAGTCTTAGTCTTATCTTTAGTCTTAGTCTTACTAGCCTTAGTTTTAGTTTTAGCGATATTAGTCATAGTCTTAGTGTGTGGGAGAGGGTGGACCACCCCTCATGAGATACTGGGAAATCGCAAAAGGGTGATATGAATAATCTCAAGCTTCTGTTTACCCCTCAGGGAAGTATGTAAATCTGACCTGTGTGACTTTGATCTTCTTCAGATGTACCTCTAGCCACAGTTTTGATGTGTTCTCATCCTCTGCCCTGGCTCCCTCGAGGGCCTAGCCCCGTCTGGCTGCCAACTCTATTTCTACCTAACTTAACTGTCTATAATACTAGGACAAACATAAAATATGTAGAATATCATTTGTGTTCACGTACAAGGAATGCATTTGTAGAAACACACTCTACAACTTGAAAGGAATGCCATGATGAGTGCATGCAGAAGGGGTCTGGGCAGTGTGCATTTACCTTCTCCAGGGCTAGGGCAGCTCTGGTGGAAGAGATGAGACGCTGGCTCTGTGGTAGGTCTGTCACACAGCAAGCCCACCCACTATGAAAGTGCGGGAAGCACCAACAATGATTCCCATCTAGACCACTCACATTCCTCACTGAAAGAGCTTCCCCAAGTGATTTCAGAGTCTGGCGTCCAGAGTTCAGAGCATCTCATCTTGGGTGCCAAATACAGAAAGGACATAAAGAAAGTCTTAAACAACTCCCAGAGGATAGAGTGTGTAACTAACATAAGGGCTTTAATAGAAAGTAATTCCTGCAACCAAAATCTCAAGCTTTTGCTGGTAGCAGCGTGATTTAGGCTCTAAGAGCCATATTTACATATAAGAAGTTCCAGTAGTTCCTGTTCCAGTGAAAGAAACAAAGATTTGAATGAGGAAAGGTAATAAAGAAGAGAGGAAAGATCTAATTAGCGATATAAACGTGCAGTGTGTCTACATGTGGCAGGGGGACAGAACAGAATATTACTGAGAGATCATAAAGCTCATCTCACTCAGTCTTCCCTCAAATGCTACAACCCCTCTGCCACATAACTGTCCAGTTCTTGTCCAACTCATCTTAAAGGCTTCTGGTAGCAAGCACCCACTTCCTTCTTCACTATATTTCCTAACCCTGCCTTCTAGAACTTGTATCAGACTTGGCTGAAACACAAAAAGATGTGTGGAATAAACTGTACTTGCTCTTTTATTTCTGCTACTCAGAGGAAGAGGAGGCTGTGGTACCCGATAGAATGTTAAGATAATGTATAACTTCCTCCACGAGCAGCTTCAACAGTTTAAAAAGGTGAGGCGTGATGAGCTTGGGGTTAGCAGCAAGGAGTTGAGAGATCAGAATCTTCTGAAACCGAAACCATTAAAAAGCCAAGAAACATATTGGGAGCTTCTGACTACAGCTGAGGAAGAGCTGATCATGGAAAAACACTAAATATTAACTATTTTATTCATATTGAAATTTATTTACTCTATTAAAAAACTTTTGAGAAAGGGTCTCCCTATTCGGTTCAGGCTGGCCTTGAGCTCACCACAATCCTCCTGCTTAGCCTCCCAAGAGCTGGAATTACAGGCATGCCACCACATCCGGCAAAAATCTATTTTTACAGGTCAGAGTTAGTTGCATAATTTGTAATCTTAATATTGAAGCTTGTGTAATATCTACTCTCAATTACTGTGATATTTAATCCATGGACCCTGCAGCCACACACTATATCTAACTGAAGACACCATCTTTTTTAAGATTAAATTTACTAAATGGTAACAGATGTGCAAAGGTTCTAATTGTGACTAAAGTGTGAGTGGTCACTTATGCTTACGTATTCGTACTTCCACCAGAGTACAGGGTCCAAGGCATTTCCCCAAAAGGAGGCAAGGGGATAGCAACTATTCCACCAACTAGGTCCTGCTCTCTTCTCCCAAAAAAGGAATCTCAGGACTCGTCAGTGAGAGGCATAGGAGGGTGTTATTAGGCGTAAATAAAGAAGAATACACTCAGAGAAAAGAGTGTAGGACCTCAAAGGATTTAACACGCTTTGGTCTGGACAGAGAAATCATCTGTAGCATTTGTGACTCTATAATGAGGAAGAGGCACAATTTACAGGTGAAAGGAGATGGCCCATTTACAGGTTAAAAGGCCTGTGTCACGTGAGAAAGTCATAGACTAATATATTATTAGGTTTTGTTGTTATTGTTTTTGTTTCTTCCTTCTTTTAAATTTTTCAGTCATAGGCATTGAACCTAGGGCCCCTTGGCACTGAAACACACCCCCTCCCCTATCCCTGCCTTTTTGGTTTTTTGTTTGTTTTGTAATTTTGAACAGGTTCCCACTAAGTTGCTCAGACTGGGCTTGTATCCTCCTGCGTCAATATCCCAGAGAGCTAGAATTCCACTAGCCGCTACACCCTGGTATTTATTGTGTTTTCTTAAATGAGGGATCTAAGATGCTTTGCTCAAAAGCATTTGAACTCTTCAAATCTGTTTCTCTCATCTTAAATTCGGGTTGCTACCCTTTACCTTATCAGCTAGTTTAATTTATAACATCTTTAAGGGATTTGGGTGTGATGGGCTGGGAATAAATCAAAGCTTAAGGAGCAAAGATAACAGTACAGATATGGATAATCTGGAGTGATTTTGTGTCCAGAAGTTGCATCCCTTTAAAAAATATGATTTTCCTTGTCTCCTATCTTTCTTTCTTCTATCCTTCCTCACGGAGTAAAGGTCTCCTAATAATTAATGTAATTTTCATAAGTGCAGGAACCTGATGCTAGGCAGGAAAATACATAAAGGTAAGGGAGGCAGAGCACCTGGCTTTCATGACATTACGATCAACTATGTCCGCCAAGACGCCCTTTGCGAATTGCATAGACTTCTCTGCAACATGGGTAAGATATTATATTGTCATTCTCCCTGTGCTTTTTATCCATGAAAAATCGTCTGACATTTTAGTCTTGATCTCAAGTGTTTGAGACATAAAAATCCCCTGGGGAGCTTATTGAAAAGATAGGCTCTGAATCAGCAGGGAGTGCAGTTGATCCAGCATTCTGTATTTGACGTACATTCCCACCTGTTCCGCCTGGTGCTGCGGTTTAGACATCTTCGGCGTAATTAAAACTGAAAGGAAATCTGTGTCTGAAATGCGCCTTTACTACCAGCAGGTGGCTCCAGAACCTCTTAAACGAGGGGCTTAACGGTTTAATTACCGTCTTTAGAGATAGGGTGGGACGGGCGGCAGGGATACGGTAGAAGAAATAAAGATATTAAAATATATTTTATAGTCATCACTTGGTAACAGTCCCTTTCAAAAGTACTATAGTAACACTATGCTATTGCTAAAGGAAATTTTCTTTGAAGTGTGAAAGAAGAACTTGATGTGCAGTACATTCACGGAGCTTTTAGGGTCCTCCTGAATTCTCAAATCAAGGAGAAATACTCCTCATGGCCCACCACTGCTGCACCCGCTCCTGTCTCATTCCACAGTCTCAGATGTTGACATAAATAATACCAGTTGTATGTGAGGTTTAAAAGATTATGTATATATACATGATCACCACTTCCTGCTTGAGTGGTTACTACCTTCTTACAGTTTCCCAGGGGCACACCCCCGAGGTATAATCAGGCGATGCATCACAATAGCAATGACGAAACAATGCCCTCTGGCCCCGCCCCTGATCAGCTAAAGGCGTGAGTTCGGAAGGTGGGGACCTATCGCACAGGCCCATGAGTGTGCGTGCTGTATCGCATGTTCAGGAGCTGCTGAAGGTTCCGGGTGATACAGTGGAGGGTACTTTCCTGGAGGTAATTGCAGCTGACGTCCTGCCCCTAGAACCACCCATGTTAGACGCATTTCTTCCTTCTACTGCGATCCTCACCACGTGGTTTTTGGCCCGATGTAGAGGAAGGGGGTTGGGAATGAGTACAAACTGCTGGGAAGTCTTTTCATAGCCTGGTTCCTCCTTTCAGTGCCTTATCTTCTCCTCACCCACCCGCTCCTCCGTAGTGGGGCTACTGTGAAGGAGACACTGTAGAACTCAGCGCATCCCTTTGTTACCAGGTTTGGGGGTTCTGCGGACCCCTTCTAAAGATTCTCTCTAGGTTTTTCTTGTTCTGAACAAAAAATTGGACCAAACAAGTGTAAAAGGTAGTGGTGCTTTACAGTTATTAAAGGTAGGAAAGGAAACATGCTCTGAGGAGCGAGTATGGGCCATTTAAAAGCTGGACAAGGCCGGGCGTGGTGGCGCACGTCTGTAATCCCAGCACTGGGGAGGCTGAGGCAGGAGGATCGTTGAGAGTCTGAGGCCAGCCTGGGCTACAAAGTAAGTTCAAGACGAGCCTGAACTACATAGTGAGACCCTGTCTCAAAAAGACAAAAAAAGCTGGACAAGAAATAACACGCTGCAGGGGGACGGCGGACCCCTGCGAAGGAAGGAACACAGTGGCTAGAAGCTTAATGGTGGTCATCTTTTGGATTCTCCACTGCTCAGGCTGACATCACATCTAGGCCATCCTACCAAAATCCCGCCTAAGTTCCTAAAGAAGAGTCGGAGATAGCATTCTCTGATTGGTTCCCGGTGCGGGACATTGGGAACTGTTTCCGGTGCACTTCCTGGATCTCCGTATTGACTGAGTTCTCCCACTTGCCCAGCAGGCTTTGCCACCATCCACTGATTCAATATGGCCTCGCTGACCTCCAGGCAACACCAGAGGTAGCCCCAGCCCCAAGAGCACTAAATCAACATATTGCCTTTGAGGATTTCTTTGAGGGGAGTTGTTACCCATAGAAGTAAACCCAGAACCTTTACACCGAAGCTACACATTCCCCAATGCTTTTTAAAATGTTTTATTTTCAAACAGGGTCTCCTTAAATCACTAAATTGCCCAAGCTGGGCTGCAACTTGACATCCTCCTGCCTCAGCCTCCCAGGTTTCTGGGATTATTAGCATTTGCTTTTGTGCCAACTTCCTTCAAGAATCTCTGGGTGCCTTAATCAAATAAAATTCAGGTCCGGTCAGCTCATCCTGCCAACCAGACACGTCTAAATAGCTTATCCACTTGCTCTGGGACATTTATTGTTCATTTACGGTATGTGTTCAAACAAAAAGAACATTTCAAGATGTGGGCACTTCAGAACTGAGTATATTCTCTCAAGATTAAGCAAATGCTGCAGTCAGCTCTGCAAGCATTCAGTAAGGTCCTCTATCAGGTAATGGAGAAGAAAATTTCAGAAAAGAAAAAAAAGTGTGGACGTAGCATAGAAACAAGTGTAGTTGCTTGTAAAGAGTGGAGAAAGAGTTTGATGAGGCTTTTAAAGGCTGGGCCATAATTTCAGGGGGAAACTGGCTCACTCAGTCCCTAGAATTACAGGTACCTGGAGATGACAGCGAGGCAAGCCCCAGAGCTGAGAGAGGCCACGCCCTCAGAGGCAGGTCTCTCAATGCTTTCTCACTTTTTCTTGCTTGACAACTGATTTCAGTGATCTACCTGAAAGATTCTTTTCCTCAACCATTCCCCTATAGCAGTCACTCTCAAGTACAATGTGAATTATTTTAATTCCCTTTTCCACAAGGCTGCAGTAGACCCTGTTGCCATAAGGTCAAGCTCTTTAATATGCTTTGGTCATAAACAACTTCACCTAGTCTATAATGATAGGTAACATGATGGGAAGTCCTTCTCACAGTCATCCAGAGACTTGGAGCCACAGCTCTACCCCTAAGCAGTTATGAGATCTTGAGTAGGATTATGTACCGTCTAAGTACAGAGTAATAATTGTATTAACTTACTGGGATCTTGTGTAGATTAAGCAGAGTAAATGTGTTCTATTTCCCACTAATCCCACATGCCAGTTGTGACAAACGGCACAAGGGGCAGAGAACAGCAGAGACCACCAGGCTTGTGGAAAGGCGACATGGTGTGAAATTTATCGTGCCTGGGAGCAGGCAGACAGAAGGCAAAAAGACTGTGGGCAACAAAGAGAAGTGTGCCCTTCTTATAAAGACTGAAAGAAGGCAGGGACATTGGGAGAGAAGATCTTAACAAACATCTATGGTCAAGGTTCTCTGGCTGTCTTGCACTTCAGTGGGCAGTCTTTGAAACATCTGGTGTCAATTCTTGGATGTCTCCCATGTCCCCAGATGTCCCAGGACCTGCAAAATTTCTTGTCTTATCTCCTGTCCTATCTTGTCCTATGTCTACGGATGATGGCCTCATGCTGAGCTGAGTTCCCGGCTGAGAGCAGCATCTCTGCCGGCCTGCAGGTTGGGGGCCGGGAGAGTCAGGTCCCCTTGGAGCCTTACACCAACCCAGTGTATTTTCTGTTTCTCACGTCTACCACTCATATCATTGCTTTAATTATGTTTTATCAGCTGCATACCCCTTTCCTATTTAATAGAACTCTATCCAAATTCTATGAGTTGAAGCTTTTCTCAGAATGCAAGACCTATTTGAATGTCATCTCTTCGAGTAATGTATCTCTTGGTCCTTCCCCATGAACATGTCTACCTGCTTATTGTGTCCTCACTTGCCTGTGCCATCCCTTATTTTTTCATACATTACAATTTGCGTTTGCATATTTTATTTTCTTCTCTATTGGCACATATCTGAAGATAATTTAACTTCCCTTCCATTCCTCGCACCCACTAAAATGATTTGTACATGATAACGCTCTTTGTGATCATGGGTGGGGCTTTTGAAAGGTAAGTGAATTACGCTGGTACGAAAAAGGGAACACCAAATCTACACCATTCTGTGCTCAAGTTCCATTTTAAAGCTTAAGTTTCTGTTTTCTAAGTTTGTTTTTTGTAAATGTTGTCACAGTTACCTAACCCCAAAACAACCCAAACCTTGGAAAAAAAACGCCTTTTCCCCCCAAAAAAAGGTCAAACACCTTTGTTCCTCTGTCACAAGCTAAGCCCATGCTTTGTAGAAGTATTTCTGTAGCTGCGCTGAATCACATCAGAAAAGAACTAATCACCCCTCTAGACCCAGAACTAGACCGGAAGCTAGAACTGTATAAATATTCTCCCCCAAACCGCCCTTCAGGGCTGGTGCTCAGTCATGTACTGGGTGCGCACCACTGGCTAATAAACTCGCTTGTCTCTGCATCCGTCCTCCATGGGTGACTCAATTAAAGAAGCATGTTTGCCGCAACGATGCAGGCATTATAGCCGACTTGCTCTGAAGGAGTGGGATCAGGTCTGAAGAGGGGGATCACTGTGGGTATAGCTGGAAGGTTATAATACACTCCCTGACTCCTTTCTTGACCCTTTGTGTTTACCAGCCACTATGAAGTGAGCAGCTGTCCCTCTGCCAGGTCCCTCTGCCATGCCAGCCTGCCTTGGAGTCAGCCCTGAAATGTGAGCCAAAGTAAACCTCTCCTTCATTACATTGTGAATGTCGATATTGTGTCTCAGTGATGAAAAAGTCACTGAGACACATTCCATTTGCTTGTAGCTATTCACTAACACTGACTCATTTTAAAATTTCATTTCTCTCAAGAAGGAAGTTAAATTATCCTTCTTTACAGATAATATGATCCTATACATAGAAGACCCTAAAGAATCCACCGAAACAATTTGTGAGGGTACTGGCAATTGAACCTACTGCTTTGCATTGAGTTACATATCCCTCTCTTCTTTTTTATAATTTTTAAATTTTGAGGCAGGTTCTTTCTAAATTGCCCAGGTTGATCTCAATTTGCAATCCTCCTATCTCAGCCTCCTAGAGTGCAAGGATTACACATGTGTACTACATTCCTACCCAAAAGAGTTTTATATCTGAAAAATACAGCAAAACAGCAAGACACAAACCAGTGTAAAAAATATTTTTTTCAATGTATCAGTAGCAAATTCCTTCAAAACTAAACCAGAAAAATAATTCCATTTATAATAGCAAAAAAAATCCATTTGTAAAGAAAAAATCCCCGAAGAATCAACCTAACCAAGGTGGATACCATGAAAATTACAGAAGACCGAAGAAAGTAATTGAAGAAGACACTAAAGGATGGAAAACCTCCCATTTTCATGGATTGGCAGAATTAATATTGTACAAAAAGGTGTATTGCTGAATGCGATCTACAGTTTTAATGCAATCTCCAGAAAAATACCAATGCCATTCTTCACAGAATTAGAAAAAAAAAAGTCCTAAAATTTATATGGAAATGGAAATGACCCAGAATCTTTAGAAAAAATAGTAATGCTGGAAGCATCACAATACCCAATTTCAAAGTATACTACAGAGCCACAGTAGCAAAAACAGCACAGTACTGGCATAAAAACAGACACATAGACCAATGGAATAAAATAGAGGATACAAAAATAAACACACACAACTGTAACCATCTGATTCTTGACACTGGGACTAAAAACACATATTGGAGAAAAGACAATTTCTTTTAAAAAATACTGCTGGGTAATTAGTTATTCACATGCAAAAGATTAAGTCTAGATCTCTATCTTTAGATCTATACAAAAATCAAAATGGATTTAAGACCTGAAACTCTGAAATTGCTGAGAAACCTAGGGGAAACATTTCAACACATAGCCATTGGCAATGACTTCCTGAAGAGGACACCAACAACTCAGGAAAAACTGCCAAAAACTGCCAAAGGGACTGCACCAAAGTAAAAATCTTCTGCACAGCAAAAGAAAACATTAACGGCACAAAGAAACAACCTAAATGGAATGGAAATATAGAATAAAATAGAATGGAAAAATCTTTCCAAGTTACTCTTCTGACAGAGGATTGATATCCAGAAGATATAAAGAACTAAAAAACTTAATAGCAAAAGAACCTGTCATCCAAGAAGTAAATGGGAAAATGAGCTAAACAGAAAACTTTCAACAGAGGTACAAATCTCAAATAAGTATAGGAAAAAAACCAACACTTTTAGTCATCAGGAAAATGCAGATCAAACCTACACTGAAATGCCATTTCACCCCAGTCATAAGTGGTTCTCATCAATAATTGTTAGCAAGGGTGCAGGGGTAAAGGAACCATTGTACGTTGTTAGAGGGAATGTAATTTAGTACAGCCTATATAGAAATCAACATGGAGGTACCTTACAACATGAGAAATAGAATTACCAAATGATCCAGCTATGCTACTCCTTGGTATATGCCTGAAGGAATTAAAGTCAGCACACTGTGGAAATACCTGGATGCCCATATTTACTGTGCCACAATCCACAATAGCCAGATATGGAATCAGCCTAGGTGCCCATCAGTTGATGAATGGATAAAGAAAATATGGTACATGGGGCTGGGGATTTAGCTCAGCGGCAAAAAGCGCCTGCCTGGCAAGCGCAAGGTCGTGAGTTTGGTTCCCGGTACCGGAGAAAAACAAACAAACAAACAAAAAAAGAAAATATGGTACATGTACACAATGGTGTATTATTTGGCCATAAACAAGAATGAAATCCTGGCCAAAGAATGAATAGAATAGAAACAATCATAGATTAAATAAACCTGACTCAGAAAGGCAAAGATCACATCTTTTCCCCCATATGTGAAATAAAAGTAAAAGAAATAATTAGACAAGAGAAACAGGATTGAAAAAAGGGATGGCACAATCTCAGATATTGTAGAGATGGAAATGATCAAAATATGTTATATGCGTGCATGAAAATGCCACAGTGAAAACTAATGTTTTGTAAAATTAAGAGTACTAATGAAAATATGTATAAAAACATAAATATAAAAAGAATCTATGACTACAAAGACTTTGTTTCTGTCAGTACATTCTCTGTCCCTTTGATATAAGTCACAACATAGTTTTAGAAAATATTAACTATTCTAATTCTTTTTAAAATTTTTATTAGTACATGTTTGCAGTACATGATTATATTCATTGTGGGGTATTGGTACATGTACATAATGTACTTCAATCCTTTTATTCCCCCACTACCATCTTTTAAAATTTTTTTTGCCAGCATAAGATTCATTTATTCATCTTAGCAGTCTTCATGAAGTTTATTATCATGCATACAGATGAACAGGCAAACTAACAGGCCAAAAAATATATAAAGCATGTAAGACAATTATACTAAATCCAGGTACGCTTTTAGATACATTGTTCATGCTGGATTACAGTCACGTTTTTTGTTTCTTTTTTGCCCTATTGTCTGTCTTTTATTTTTGCACTTTATTTATATTTTGGGTTTCTCATATAAGAGAAACCATGTGATATTTAAGCTTGTGTGTCTCATTTACTTCACTTACCATTATGATCTCAAATTGCATCCATTTTCCTACAAATGTTTCAAGTTATCCTTTACGTGAGAGTAGTGCAGTGGTGTCTTGGTCTATGAACTTAATTTTTTTATTATTTTTGAAGAAGATGACTGTGTTTGTGTTTGTGTGGGGAAGATGGCCATAGTCGTGCTTGTCACCCAACATAGAGTTTGTGAATGAAAGCAAAATTTTGCTGAACACTTTTGTTTGGGAAGCAAATTGTTTGCAAACAGAATTATTCATGAATGAAGGTGTTACTACACTATACACTTTGTGTATAACTACTGTATTTTCTTTATCCAATCATCTGTTGATGGACATATAGGCTACTTCCAAGATTCAGCTATTATGAATTGTACTGGTATAAAGGTGGATATGCATGTATCACTGGAATATGATGTCTTTAACTCTTTTCAGAAGATACCTAGAAAGTATGATACCTGGGTCAAATGGAATTTCTATTTTTAAGTTTTTGAGGAATCTCCATGCTGGCTTCCATAGAGGTTGTGTTATAGAGTAGTTTCTTTAAAAATGGCTTGCCAGTCAAAACTATTCCAGGGCCTTCTTGCCCCAAACAAAGAATTTAACAAGACAAGTCAATAACCTCATGGGAGCTCACAAGAAGTTTCCTATTTGGGGTCCTCGCGTTGACCTGGGTTCTTGTCATTGACAGGTCCTGCTCATTTTCCCCAGCCAGCTTTGCCATGTGCTATATCCTGTATCAGCTGTACTAGTTTACACTCCCACCAACAATGTAGAAAGGTTCCTCTCTTCCCCTGCAGCCTCGCCAGCATTTGTTGTTATCTGATTTCTTGAAGATAGCCATTCTTTCTGGAGTGAGGTGAATCTGTGTTGTTTGTATTCACATTTCTCTACTGGCCAGTGAAGTTAAACATTTTCATTACTTTATTGGCCATTTGTGTTTCTTCATCTAAGAAATGTCTGTTCATTTCAGATGCCCATTTTTTCAATTGGGTCCTTAGGTGGGGAGGTCTAATTTTTTTTAGCTCTTTATATGTTCTAGGCATTAGTCCTTTGTCTGAGGAACTGGCAAATATTTTTCCTATTTAGTAATTATGCTTTCTCTAGCTCTGTGTGTAATGCCATTGGTACTTTGATTGGGATTGAACTAAATCTGTATAACAGTTTTGGAAGTATGGCCATTTTGACTGTGTTGATTCTGCCTATCCAAGCATACAGGGTGTCTTTCCATTTTCTGATGTCCTTCTCAATCTTCTTTTTTAGAATGCGATAGTTCTCATTATAGAGGTCTTTCACTTCTTTAGTTAGGCTAATTCCTAAGTAGTTTACATTCCTTTTTTTTCATGCTACTGTGAAAGTATCATTTCCCTAATTTCTCTCTTGCTGAGTTTACTATTGGTGTACAGGACACTACTGATTTTTGAATATTGACTTTGTATCCTACTGTGCTACTGAATTTGGTTATTAATTCTGGACATCTTTTAGTGAAATGTTGGAGTGTTCTACATAGAGCATGTCATCTGCAAATAATAACTTAACTTCTTCCTTTTCTATCCATATCCATTTTATTTTATCTTGTCTAATTGCTCTGACTGACGTTTCAAAAACTATATTGAATTGGAATAGTGATAGCAGACATTTTAGTCTCCTTCCTGATTTTAGAAGGAAAGTTTCAGCTTCTAGCCATTTAGTATGGCATTGGCTGCTAGTTTGTCATAGATGGAATTCATCAGACTGATGTAAGGATCACCTATACCTATTTTTTCCATTTTTTTAAACCATAAATGGATGTTGTATTTTGTCAGATGTTTTCTGCATCTATTGAGTTGGCCGTGTGATTTTTCTCCTTTCTTCTGTTTATGTTTATATGGTGCATTACATTTATTAATTTACATATGTTGGACAATCCCTGCATACCTGGAATGAATCCTAGTTGGTCATGATGTATGATCTTTCTGATGCTGCACTATGTTTGCCAGTATCTTATTGAGAATTTCTGCATCTATGTTTATTAATGAGATTAGTCTGTAGTTTTCTATTTTGGTTGGGTCCTTTTCTTGTTTAGAAATGATGGTAATGTTTACTTCCAGGAATGACATTGGGAGTTTTCCTTTTGATTTCATTAAAGAGTTTGAATAGCTTGG